AGAAAGAAAGAAAGAAAGAAAGAAAGAAAGAAAGAAAGAAAGAAAGAGAGAGGGGGGGAAGGAAGGAAGGAAGGAAGGAAGGAAGGAAGGAAGGAAGGAAGGAAGGAAGGAAAGAAAGGAAGGAAGGAAGAAAGGAAGGTGAAGCAAGCTGTTCTGGAGATTTCTTGCCAATCTCAAATCAACAGCTGCATCTACTACCACGTGATAGCTTTCTCCATCTGTAGTGTTGAGAAATCCATTCTTTTAAACTGAGATTGGAAGGAAACTTCAACCAATTTGGTCTAGTGGTTAAAGCACCAGGCTAAAAGCCAACAAACTGTGAATTCTAGGTCTGCCTAGCCATAAAAGCCAGTTCGGTGACCTTGGGCCAGTTCCTATCTCTCAACCTAGCCTGCCTCACAGGGTTGTTGTTGTGGGGAAAATAGGAGGAGGAAAAATTGTTGGATGTGTTCACTGCCTTGAGTTATTTGTAAAAATAATACAAGTGCAATACAAACAAATAAACAAACAAACAAATGAAAATAGTATTGGATATTTATAACTGAGCTTTAAAAAGAAGTTTGAAAAGAAAAAGGACATTTTTGTTGCTCTTCTTCAGACACAAGAATATGTGAATCCTGATCATTCATAATATTTACTGATGAACTTTGGTAGATTATTAATGCTCATTAATAATTATTGTTATGATGCTTTATTTATGAACTGTTTTTTTTTCTCATGTTCTTTTTATAATGAAAAGAAAAAGGGTGGTTCTAAAAATAGAGATTCCCCATTCTTATAAATGGGAATAATCAAAGGATCTCCATAAGCAAATATAATTGAGATACAAATAAATGCAAATAGGAAGAACTCAGAAATAAACTATGACCTGCACACAACCTTAATTATAATTCTTCTTTAGTATTTGGTGCAGAAGATTTGCTGCTCATTTTCCAATATGTTTCCCAGTGTTACAATGTTACAATGTAAATTACACCAATTAGATGGAAGACTGACAGACTAAGTTTCTGCTTATTGTTTTATAATTCTGTTGTGTTAATTTAAAGTACGTAGACATTTGAAACTCTTTACAACCTTCACTGCCAAATTATATACCAAGAAAATTTACTTAATAATTTATAGTCAGAGTCAGAGTTCTTTAAATTAGGAAATTTTGGTTTAGCTTGCTTAGTTATTACTTATATATTTAGACTTAATCACACCGATTCAGAATCAAACTAACAAATATAAAATAACATACCAGTGATAGAAGCATCTAATTAAGATAATGTTGGCAATAACAGCACTTCATATTAAAAGCTGAAAAAATAATTTTGATTTTCCATTAAATTCATAAAGAAGCTTCTTAGATGAGAAGTGAAATGTTTTCTTTTCTTTAAAACAACAACAACAACAACAACGTGCAGTTGCCTCCTGAAAAGCACCTTTGGAACAACCATGACCTGCAGAGAATCTCTACAGATTTTCTGCCTTCCTTCTTCAGCAAACCTCTTGTTACTCATCTCATATTTCAGAATCACCAGTAATTCAGTAAAAGGAAAATGTTCCTTAATCCTATCCAATAATCTTAAATTCTGCAGTACTTGGATTCAAAATAGGAATCAGTGCTGGGCACGGTCATCTGGCTTGTCATAAAAAAACCTGTCCCTCTTCCCTAAATTAGAACGTTTGAACTAGACGGATCAGCAATCTCTCTCTCTATTACAGAGACATTTTCTCATATCTAAAGATAAACAGCACACAGAAATGTTACGGCTATATCCTTTGCTCAGCAAGCTAGCCTTTCTAATAAACATGACAAAGTGTTATCCAATAAGCCAGCATATTGTTATTAAGGGCTCCTTGTTACTGGGGATGAAAATACTTTTTTTCTTGTATTCTCTTTCTTTGGTATTTCTTTGTGTATTTGTTTATTTAGAAAATGCATATGGCTGTCCTTCTTAAACCACCAAGTCTAGGTAGCTAAACAAATGATACATAAAAAATAATTTTAATAAAAACCAACATACAGAAAAGGAATTAGAAATAATCATAGTACTGTAATCCAAGTGCCCAAAACTCCCTCACAATACCAAACATACACTTTGGGTTCCAAACCAACAGTCTTTGCCTTAATATGTGAAGACATTTGTGGCCTTCCAGAGAGTCAATAGGTTGGGTCATCCAGATCCCTCTGGGAAGACTGTTCCAGAGGGCAGGGGCCATCACAGAGAAGACACAATTCCTAGGTCCCCCAAGATCACATGGTTGGTGATAAGGAACTCAAACCATTCCTACCATACCACATCTGGTAAGGAAAGAGTGAGTCAACCTTGAGCCTGATGTTAGATTTTGAATTGCCAATTTTCAGTCAGCCAGCAGTCAGCAGAAGTAGCCTGCAGTACTGCACTCTAACCA